TGTATGTGTGCGCTTGTGCGTGTGTTTCTCTATTTGATATCACGTATTTGTGATTGCAGGGTTCGAATCTCAGCTCCTGGAAATGGTTCTTAACTTGATATTTGCTGGGTGAGCATCCTCATAGCTTCATAAGAACTAAATCCACCTCCTTCCTCCTCCACAAGGACAAAATATATCACCTATTTCCCATACAAGGGCAAAATCTATCTCCTTCCTCCTACAGAATGACAAGATCAGGCTCCTGTTTCCTATACAAGGACAAAATCTGTCTCCTTCCCGGTACACAAGGACAAAATTCATCTCCTGCCGGTACACAAGAACAAAGTCCATCTCCTTCCCGATACACGAGGACAAAGTCCATCTCCTTCCCAGTACACAAGGACAAAGTCCGTCTCCTTTCCGGTACACAAGAACAAAGTCCATCTCCTTCCCGGTACACAAGAACAAAGTCCATCTCCTTCCCAGTACACAAGGACAAAGTCCGTCTCCTTCCCGGTACACAAGGACAAAGTCCGTCTCCTTTCCGGTACACAAGGACAAAGTCCATCTTCTTCCCGGTACACAAGAACAAAGTCCATCTCCTTCCCGGTACACAAGGACAAAGTCCATCTCCTTCCCGGTACACAAGGACAAAGTCCATCTCCTTCCCGGCACACAAGAACAAAGTCCATCTCCTTCCCGGTAAACACAAGAACAAAGTCCATCTCCTTCCCGGTACACAAGGACAAAGTCCATCTCCTTCCCGATACACGAGGACAAAGTCCGTCTCCTTCCCGGTACACAAGGACAAAGTCCGTCTCCTTTCCGGCACACAAGGACAAATTCCATCTTCTTCCCGGTACACAAGAACAAAGTCCATCTCCTTCCCGGTACACAAGGACAAAGTCCATCTCCTTCCCGGTACACAAGGACAAAGTCCATCTCCTTCCCGGCACACAAGAACAAAGTCCATCTCCTTCCCGGTACACAAGGACAAAGTCCATCTCCTTCCCGGTACACAAGGACAAAGTCCATCTCCTTCCCGGTACACAAGGACAAAGTCCATCTCCTTCCCGGCACACAAGAACAAAGTCCATCTCCTTCCCGGTACACAAGGACAAAGTCCATCTCCTTCCCGGTACACGAGGACAAAGTCCATCTCCTTCCCGGCACACAAGAACAAAGTCCATCTCCTTCCCGGTACACAAGGACAAAGTCCATCTCCTTCCCGGTACACAAGGACAAAGTCCATCTCCTTCCCGGTACACAAGGACAAAGTCCATCTCCTTCCCGGTACACAAGAACAAAGTCCATCTCCTTCCCGGTACACAAGGACAAAGTGCATCTCCTTCCCGGTACACAAGAACGAAGGTCATCTCCTTCCCGGTTCAAAAGAACAAAGTCCATCTCCTTCCCGGTACACAACGACAAAGTCCATCTCCTTCCCGGTACACAAGGACAAAGTCCATCTCCTTCCCGGTACAAAAGAACAAAGTCCATCTCCTTCCCGGTACACAACGACAAAGTCCATCTCCTTCCCGGTACACAAGAACAAAGTCCATCTCCTTCCCGGTACACAAGGACAAAGTGCATCTCCTTCCCGGTACACAAGAACGAAGGTCATCTCCTTCCCAGTACACAAGAACAAAGTGCATCTCCTTCCCGGTACACAAGGACAAAGTCCATCTCCTTCCCGGTACAAAAGAACAAAGTGCATCTCCTTCCCGGTACACAAGAACAAAGTTCATCTCCTTCCCGGTACAAAAGAACAAAGTCCATCTCCTTCCCGGTACACAAGGACAAAGTCCATCTCCTTCCCGGCACACAAGAACAAAGTGCATCTCCTTCCCGGTACACAAGAACAAAGTCCATCTCCTTCCCGGTACAAAAGAACAAAGTGCATCTCCTTCCCGGTACACAAGGACAAAGTCCATCTCCATCCCGGTAAACAACAACAAAGTCCATCTCCTTCCCGGTACACAAGAACAAAGTCCATCTCCTTCCCGGTACACAAGAACAAAGTCCATCTCCTTCCCGGTACACAAGAACAAAGTCCATCTCCTTCCCGGTACACAAGGACAAAGTCCATCTCCTTCCCGGTACACAAGGACAAAGTCCATCTCCATCCCGGTACACAAGAACAAAGTCCATCTACTTCCCGGTACACAAGGACAAAGTGCATCTCCTTCCCGGTACACAAGAACGAATGTCATCTCCTTCCCGGTACAAAAGAACAAAGTCCATCTCCTTCCCGGTACACAAGAACAAAGTCCATCTCCTTCCCGGTACACAAGGACAAAGTGCATCTCCTTCCCGGTACACAAGAACAAAGTCCATCTCCTTCCCGGTACACAAGAACAAAGTCCATCTCCTTCCCGGTACACAAGGACAAAGTTCATCTAAATCCCGGTACACAAGAACAAAGTCCATCTCCTTCCCGGTACACAAGAACAAAGTCCATCTCCTTCCCGGTACACAAGAACAAAGTCCATCTCCTTCCCGGTACACAAGAACAAAGTCCATCTCCTTCCCGGTACACAAGAACAAAGTGCATCTCCTTCCCGGTACACAAGGACAAAGTCCATCTCCTTTCCGGTACACAAGGACAAAGTCCATCTCCTTCCCGGTACACAAGAACAAAGTCCATCTCCTTCCCGGTACACAAGGACAAAGTCCATCTCCTTCCCGGTACACAAGGACAAAGTCCATCTCCTTCCCGGTACACAAGAACAAAGTCCATCTCCTTCCCGGTACACAAGGACAAAGTCCATCTCCTTCCCGGCACACAAGAACAAAGTCCATCTCCTTCCCGGTACACAAGAACAAAGTCCATCTCCTTCCCGGTACAAAAGAACAAAGTCCATCTCCTTCCCGGTACACAAGAACAAAGTCCATCTCCTTCCCGGTACACAAGAACAAAGTCAATCTCCTTCCCTGTACACAAGGACAAAGTCCATCTCCTTCCCGGTACACAAGAACAAAGTCCATCTCCTTCCCGGTACACAAGAACAAAGTCCATCTCCTTCCCGGTACAAAAGAACAAAGTCCATCTCCTTCCCGGTACACAAGAACAAAGTCCATCTCCTTCCCGGTACACAAGAACAAAGTCCATCTCCTTCCCGGCACACAAGCACAAAGTCCATCTCCTTCCCGGTACACAAGAACAAAGTCCATCTCCTTCCCGGTACACAAGAACAAATTCCATCTCCTTCCCGGTACACAAGAACAAAGTCCATCTCCTTCCCGGCACAAAAGCACAAAGTCCATCTCCTTCCCGGTACACAAGAACAAAGTCCATCTCCTTCCCGGTACACAAAAACAAAATCCATCTCCTTCCCGGTACACAATAACAAAGTCCATCTCCTTCCCGGTACACAAGGACAAAGTCCATCTCCTTCCCGGTACACAATAACAAAGTCCATCTCCTTCCCGGTACACAAGGACAAAGTCCATCTCCTTCCCGGTACACAAGGACAAAGTCCATCTCCTTCCCGGTACACAAGGACAAAGTCCATCTCCTTCCCGGTACACAAGAACAAAGTCCATCTCCTTCCCGGTACACAAGGACAAAGTGCATCTCCTTCCCGGTACACAAGAACGAAGGTCATCTCCTTCCCGGTACAAAAGAACAAAGTCCATCTCCTTCCATGTACACAAGAACAAAGTCCATCTCCTTCCCGGTACACAAGGACAAAGTGCATCTCCTTCCCGGTACACAAGAACGAAGGTCATCTCCTTCCCGGTACAAAAGAACAAAGTCCATCTCCTTCCCGGTACACAAGAACAAAGTGCATCTCCTTCCCGGTAAAACAAGAACAAAGTCCATCTCCTTCCCGGTACACAAGGACAAAGTCCATCTCCTTCCCGGTACACAAGAACAAAGTCCATCTCCTTCCCGGCACACAAGAACAAAGTGCATCTCCTTCCCGGTACACGAGGACAAAGTCCATCTCCTTCCCGGTACACAAGAACAAAGTCCATCTCCTTCCCGGTACACAAGAACAAAGTCCATCTCCTTCCCGGTACACAAGAACAAAGTCCATCTCCTTCCCGGCACACAAGAACAAAGTGCATCTCCTTCCCGGTACACAAGAACAAAGTCCATCTCCTTCCCGGTACAAAAGAACAAAGTGCATCTCCTTCCCGGTACACAAGGACAAATTCCATCTCCATCCCGGTAAACAACAACAAAGTCCATCTCCTTCCCGGTACACAAGAACAAAGTCCATCTCCTTCCCGGTACACAAGAACAAAGTCCATCTCCCTCCCGGTACACAAGAACAAAGTCCATCTCCTTCCCGGTACACAAGGACAAAGTCCATCTCCTTCCCGGTACACAAGGACAAAGTCCATCTCCATCCCGGTACACAAGAACAAAGTCCATCTACTTCCCGGTACACAAGGACAAAGTGCATCTCCTTCCCGGTACACAAGAACGAATGTCATCTCCTTCCCGGTACAAAAGAACAAAGTCCATCTCCTTCCCGGTACAGAAGAACAAAGTCCATCTCCTTCCCGGTACACAAGGACAAAGTGCATCTCCTTCCCGGTACACAAGAACAAAGTCCATCTCCTTCCCGGTACACAAGAACAAAGTCCATCTCCTTCCCGGTACACAAGGACAAAGTTCATCTAAATCCCGGTACACAAGAACAAAGTCCATCTCCTTCCCGGTACACAAGAACAAAGTCCATCTCCTTCCCGGTACACAAGAACAAAGTCCATCTCCTTCCCCGGTACACAAGAACAAAGTCCATCTCCTTCCCGGTACACAAGAACAAAGTGCATCTCCTTCCCGGTACACAAGGACAAAGTCCATCTCCTTTCCGGTACACAAGGACAAAGTCCATCTCCTTCCCGGTACACAAGAACAAAGTCCATCTCCTTCCCGGTACACAAGGACAAAGTCCATCTCCTTCCCGGTACACAAGGACAAAGTCCATCTCCTTCCCGGTACAAAAGAACAAAGTCCATCTCCTTCCCGGTACACAAGGACAAAGTCCATCTCCTTCCCGGCACAC